ATATTCACAAGACAAGAGAAACTTGACCGCAACCCAACTGTAGTTCGTTTCCATCACCCCAAACAAACCCTGTACCTGTAATATCCCTCCTCCCTCCCGTGGCCTTTCCCCCACCCCTGCAGCCACTGGCCTGCACCTGAAGCCTTGCCTGTTCTGGATGCAACATGGACACACAGTCACGTTGCACATGCTTCTTTTGTGGCCAGGATTCTACCTACGTGGGTGGGATAATACATATGTGGTCCTTCTAGTAAGGAATGGTGGGGTTTGATTTACATTTGTCATGCACCTTCTTTTTTTTATTTTCGCAGCGCTGGGGTTGGAACCTAGGGCCTTGTGCATGTTGGACAAGTGCTCTGGCCCCGAGTTACAGCCCCCACTTGGGATGAACTTCTCCTGAAGCCTGTTTCCTTCCATCTATTCCTATGAGTCCACACAAGGGAGCGATCATTTGCTCACCTCCTGAGGGCCCCACAAGGCACATATGCAGGCGACATTTGGAGAACAGGTCTGCACTCCCCAACCCTGTGGACCGCCTGACTCTGGAGCTCCTGCGCCCTCTTCTGTCCAGAGGCCGCCCTCTTTCTCACTCCTGCCTCGGTCTGTCCTGGACCCAACTGTCCGCCACGTTGCCACTGCAGTGTGGAAAGGCCAGAGCAAAGTCTGTAGGCAGCAGCCAGTCCCTTTTGTCAACAAACTCCCCGGGACAGCTGCAGGCTGGCTTCTCCCCCCGCCCCTCCCCTCCCCGTTTTGTCCGGAAGTAACATCTACGATGAGTTTAATTATGCAATTAAAGTCATTTTCCTGGGCTGAACAAATATTTACAGCATATTTCGCTGTAAATTGCTTTGCCTGGAAAAGAACTCTGCCATTTAGGCAGGCAAACACTCGCACATTTACATATCCCATTACCAGGGGGCCAGGGGACCGGAGGCTGCGCTGGGCTGCAGGGCCCCAGGGCCGCGTGGGCTGAGTGCACCCAGGAAGCGGCATCAACAGCCACGACACTTACAGGTGTCAGCCAGACAAATGTGTTCCAGCCCTCGCCAGCATGACTGTGGATGGAGTGATGTCCGCTGCTCCTCCAAGGAGGCCCCAGGTCCCAGCTCTGTGTAGCAGAGAGATCTCTGAGCTCTGTCCCTCTGCCACTAGGGCCAGAGAGCCGAGCAAAGTTGCCACATGGAGACAGTTCTGGAATGATCAGCTTGTGTGGGCTATGAGCTGGCCACCCTGTCTGTCTTCTGTGCAGTCTTCCTAAGAGGGTTTTCATAAGACCCCATGTCATGAGCCCTTCCTGGGGACCCTCAGTGTGCCCTCCTCCCCAGCTTCCTATATGAGCAGGGGCAAGAAAACTCTAGGCCAAGATTCAGGCTATTAGAAAAAGTTGGTCTGTGTTTATTCTAACTTCAGCTGACATGTGTCTCTGTGTCAAGACATGGAAGAAATGGAGCCAGAGTTGGGAAGACTGGGTCCCAGGGCAGGGGGTGTCGCAGGCGCACCAAGGAGGGCTAGTCGGGGTTTGGGGCAGTTGCTGCTCTCCAGCTGGATGGGGTATTTCCGCTTCCCACCCTCCAGCTCCACCGTGGTGGAGCTCGGGCTTGGCTGGGTGGGAGGCGCTGCTCTCAGTATCTGCTCCACCTCGCACCAGGTCCGTCTCGGTCAAGCTCTCCCACACCTGCATCTCCCTTCACTCCTGGCACTGAATGAGCCTTGTGGGGGCTACATAGAATGAGCAAAGCAGTGACAACATGGGCAGCACAGCCCCTGCAACCCTGGTCCCTGCTGGTTCTGGCTGCCTGGCATGATTCTGGGCCAAGAGGAGCGCTAGTATAAGTGACCGATTTTCCCAGGAACAGCCACCACTGCCATGTTAGGTACATTTTTCGGAGTTTCTTCCTGGATTTCATCATCTACTGATGCCAGAGATGGCGGGGTAGGGGGGCAAATGTTGAGTGACCACAGATTATACGCACGGAGCCCTCTAAAGTGGGAGTCTAGCTTGCTCTCTATGGGAGCTACAGTTTCTCCAAATAAGAGCCAGTTGCCAAGTGTCTAGCTTTGGTCCTAATTTGGGGCTGTGATAAATGGCTTCATAATGAACACTTCTCTGCTCAGCGTATTCTTCTCTTAGGACACGTTACTTGGAGCCAGAGGGACAGGACCCAAATGCAGGCCCTTTTGCTAGAATCTTTGAGGAGCAAGCTGAGGGGATGTTGGGGGTTACTAGGCCAGGAGGAGAAAGCCAGGATTTCTCGGTTGGCTCTGCTTTCTTGTGCCTCCTCCTGAAACCCAGAATAGCTGTCTTGGGTCAGAGGTGGAAGGAGCAGGGCTGGTCGCCAGCACCACAGCTACCATAGGCTTTGGCCCAGGTAGAGCTCCAACATGACCATTCAAGACCGAGAGTAAAACAAAAACGGAGAGCACTGCCTTTCTTGGGTCCCCGCTGTGTGCCAAATCCTTTTGCACTGTCTCAACTGATCTTTTTTCAACAGCACCCCAAGGAAGTACAGAGAGTTCATTTTACAGATGAGAAAACTGAGGTCCAGGCTTTTGTGCAATCAACTAAGGTGTGACTGTGACTCACATGGAGTTGGGTTATTTCACTGCTTTTCCCTGGGGCCCCAGGAGTATTACTGTCCCCAGGGATGAGGTGACAAGAGGGCGGCCCACTGGCCTGGGGCAGGGCTAGGGATAGGATGCACCCCAGAATGCCAGTATCACTCTCCCCAGGAAAGGACAGAGGGCAGGAGAGAGGAAGCAGGCCACCAACCCATGCTGGTAGGTGGCTCCCAGGATGACTACTTCAGCAGCTGGAGAGACACAGAGCAAAGGCCCACTGCGGCTGGGACCACGGAGCAGGGCTGTCCATCAAGGGAGGCTGCAGGGTCCTGATTTTAAACCTTCCTTGACACTGTGTAGCATCCAGAGGGGTGCAGCTGACACCTGGGGACCTGGGTCAGGCTGGGGCCAAGGGGAGAGGGAGAGGAAAGAGGACCCGCTTCCTGTCGGGACCTGTGGGGCCCTGTTGCTCTCTTGCCGGGTCCCAGTACTGCTCTGGAAACTCCAGAAAGACAAAGGCAGCAGAAGAGGGCAGCCCGGCTGGGTCTCAGGCCCCCATGGCCTTGTGGCATTGGCTGTGTAGTGACAGGCAACAGCAGAACCAATTTAGCGCTCCAACCCCACCTCCAGTGACAGCCATTTGCCCTGGAAGCCTCCTCCTCTTTGTCTTCCTACCTACAAGCATGGTCCAGGGACCCTGAAGATTGAGGTTGCCATCTCCTGGTGACTATACCCAGAAGTCCCAGCACTGAAACCAAGACTTGGAGACAGGAGGAAAACTCAAAAGATATTGTTTGGGGGAAACTGAGACAGGCAAGTGATGAGTCCCTTGGGGCCCCTGAAAACTCTCACTGTGTCGAAGTCACCTCCTGCAAGCTTCCCAGGAGGTCAGTGGCTACTTCCCAGACCTGCTAGTCACTCCTGGCCTCAGTTTTCCCACCTGTAAAGCTGAAGCGATCTTGGCTTCATGTTCCATGCGGACAAGCAAAGCAAAGAAGGCAGAGGAAAGAGGAAATCTGCAAGGGGCGGGCGAGAAAGTGGGCTGTCCTGGCTCAGGTGGATGCCGGCTGCCTGCCTGGGTGAGGGAGAGGGTGAGGCTAATTCACAGCTGGGCCCAGAAGGGAAGAACAGCTGAAGGAAGCAGCGCTTATGTACAGAGCAAGGTGCAATAAGGAGGTTATGGTTTGTTTGGACTGTTCTGGAATACCCAATCCATGCTGGGAGCAGGGGAGACCTGGCAAGGGCTCAAGGTGGCCCCGGGCCAGCTCGCACCCCCTTTTCCCTCGGGCGGCGCGGTGGAGCTGCGCATGCGCTCTCACTACGCAGAAGGCGCTCCACTGACACTCGTGCCGCAGATGCCTGGCACCTCCCCCTGCAGAATACCCTTCTGGCTGGGCACAGTGGCCCCTTCCTGTGATTCCGGCACTGAGGGAACCCAAAGCAGGAAAAGCACAAGCCCAAGTCTCCCTTGGGCAATGTTACAACTGAGAGAAACCCTGTCTCAATATAAAAAATAGGGCCGGCCAGATAGCCCAGTGCTGCGCTGGCCCCACCCCCAGGCCTGCTGAGCCTGTGACCAAGTCCCAGCGTGGAGGCGAACACCTGTAATTCCAGCGCTGGGGAGGCTGAAAAGAAGAGGATCGCTTTGAGTCCAAGATGTATAGTGAGATCCTGTACCATATATATTTATTACATACATATAATAAACATGGTAGGGGTGTAGCTCAGTGCAAACGCCCTAGGTTCAATCACTAGCTCTGAAAACAACAATAACAAAACAAATCAAAACAAAAATGCTGGGGCTAGGGAGATAGCTAGGCAGTCTAAGCACCTTCCTGGCAAGCTCAAGGACCAAGGTTCTAATCTCTGGCACCACATGCCGTGCTGGCCCCAGAACCCCAGGCACATGGTGCCAGCCACTGAAACTGGGTGTGGTGTTACACCCTATAATCCCACCACTTGGGGGGGGGGGTCACTAGGAGAGGTGGATCACTACAAGTTCGAGCTGAGTGGTGAGACCCTGTAGCAAATAAATATTTTTTTTAATTTTTAAATGCTTTTCTCCCCATCATTTTATTGATGACAGAGAAAAGTTAATACACACACACACACACACACACACACACACACAAAGGACTAAAGACAAAACCTGTGAAACTGCCCACAATGCAATTACTGGGGAAGGTAGAGCCCTGAAGCCCAAATTTTTTTCAAAAAACACATTTTAAACTCTCCCAGCCCAGCTCTGTGGGCTGTAGAACTGTGAACAGGCGACCACTAGTGGCACCAGCTAATCCAGCACACCAGGTGTTCAGGCAGCGCTCTGCAGGGTGGATTCAGGGAAAACCAAGCGAACCAAACCCAGTTCTTTTCTATAAAAGTTTATTTTGTAATTTTTTTCCCCAGGAAATGATAATGGGAGCAAATTGCAGTTTCACAAAGGGAAGGAAAGGATGGTGTACAAAAATAATTTAAACACACATTTTAGTAACAAAGCAACATTTCTTTTCTAGTTAACAACTACTAAGTCATAATCTTGCCCAAGATTTTTCCAAAGGTACTAAATACATTTTAGACAACTACACACACGGACCCAGACATAGACCCAGATACACACACAGACACACACACAGACACACACACACACACACACATACAGCTCAAGTACTGCTTCTGTGCAATCTAGCTAACTGATATAGCTAAAGTAGAAAAGGTGGGACCCTAGACGCCTGAGTAACCCTAAACAGAACATGCATTGCCTGTGGATTCTGGAGACTCGCGGAGGTCTGCCCTCCCGCCCCACAGGTTACTAGCGCCTGCTCCGTGGCTCTCCTCTGATGAAGTAAGTGTGCCTCTGATCTGCTCAACGGTGCGGTCACTGTGCGGCGGCTTGTGTGGATTTGGGAAGACTCGCTTTCTCTCACTGTGAGTGCACCCCATGGATGGAAGAGGGGGTGCATCTAAGGGGAAGCCCTCAGCCTCTGACTACATCTGGCTGATTCTTTGCTTCAGAGCGAGGATCTCTCTTTCGATTTCGTACGGGAGGTCAGCATTGACCTGCTCTTCCAGGTATTTCTCGATGTCTTCCACCTCCTTCTCCCAGAACTCTTTGGAGATGTTGAAGAGCTCCTTCATGTTGACATTCCCCAGGCCTTTCAGGTTCAAGGCATCCTCCTTGGGGATGTAGCCAATGGGGGTGAGCTGGGCGCAGTCTTCCCCGTTGATCCGGTTGAACATCCACTCCAGTACCCTGGAGTTCTCTCCGAAGCCAGGCCAGAGGAATTTGCCTTCCTTGTCCTTCCGGAACCAGTTGACATGGAAGATCTTGGGCAGCTTGGCTGCTGGGCGGTGAGCCATGCTCAGCCAGTGGGCCAGGTATCTGCCAAAGTTGTAGCCAAAGAAGGGCCGCATAGCAAAGGGATCGTGCATGATGACTTTGCCTATTAAATAGAGGGGCGCTATTGGTAAATGCTGTACCCGAAGGATAATCACCATTCTCTCTCTGTCTCTGTTTGTCTCTCTCTGTCTCTCTTTCTCTCTCTCTCTGTGTGTGTGTGTGTGTGTGTGTGTGTGTGTGTGTCCCCCTCATCCAAATCAGGTCCTGACTTCCATTTACCTTTATGCTCTGCAGCTGCAGTGGCCTCTGATCGCATGGCTGCCCCCACAAATACTCCATGCTGCCAGTTGAGAGCTTCATAGACAAGAGGGACACCTTTCATAGGAAAAAAAAAAAAAGAAGAAGAAATGTCCCTTAACAACTATGACCCTTGGACTCTAGGCCCAGTGATGTCTTTTACATGCATTTTTTTTTTAAATTGAGCTATCTGCATTTGCAGAGCTAGCATGCAGAAAACACAAATTGAAGTTATACTCTCCAGCCCATGAAACAAAAGGTAAAATTGGATGAAGTTATTTTAGGTCAGAGATCCAGAAAGGCTCTAAGAAACAGAAGGACAAGTTCTCTGTTTGAGTTTGCCAGTTGTTCTGGATTTGGGGAAAGGGAGATCTCTGGCACCCTCAGATGGGTATCACGTGGTCATGGCTGTCACCCTCCATGCCCAAGCCCAAATGGGGGACAGCCTTACCAGCTGGTCTGCGGCCTCCAAAGATGATGCCCTCAATGGGCACGCCTTCCGGGGACTCCCAGGCAGGATCAATGATAGGGCACTGGCTTGCAGGGGTGCAGAACCGTGAGTTGGGGTGGGCACAAGTCTCCCCTACAGCACAGCAGAGAGAAGACCCTTAGCAGCTTCCCCCAACAGGTAGCACCTACAGCCTGGAGCTGGTGGCCTCTGGAGGGGACTCACCATCTTCTGGGTGCCATTCTTTGTTCTTCCAAGAAGTGATTGTGGTGCCCAAGGCCAGCGGCTCATCAAGGCCTTCCCAGTAAATGCCACCATCGCTGGTCTCAGCCACGTTGGTGAAGATGGTATTCTGCCGGATAGTCTCGATGGCATTGGGGTTTGTCTTTGCTGAGGTGCCAGGAGCAACACCAAAGAAACCATTTTCTGGGTTGATGGCCCTTAAGTTACCTGGAAAATTGCAAATCAAAACATGTTCCTAGGTTCTTAGATATTATTGAGCTACTGCAGGCACCAAATTCTCAAATCACTTTTTTTCCCTCCCTATATCTACCTTACTGTACATCAATCACCATATTCAACATTGAGACTTTCCATAACTCATTCTTCAATTTTAAGAACTATATATACACTACTTCTAAGGAACGCTCACAGAATGCCTATATCTAAAGTTTGCACGCTCTGAATTAAACACCCACCACCACAACAGGCTTAGAAGGTGGCGTGTGTGAAGGTCAACTATTCATTAACATCTAATGATTATCAACAGGCATAAAAGAGTCACCTTGGCCATCGAATTTCATCCAAGCGATGTCGTCCCCCACACACTCAATTTTCCACCCCGGGAGTGTGGGATTCATCATGGCTAGGTTGGTCTTCCCGCAGGCACTGGGGAAAGCTGCCGCCAAGTATTTCTTCTGGCCGGAGGGGTTGGTGATGCCCAGGATCTATGGAGACAACGTTTCTCATCACAACCTCTCTCCCTCACAGGAACCCCAACCGGGCAGGTCCTCAACATCTGTTTCTTTGGCCATCAGGACAAATATGTGCAAAGAACAAAAGCTCTCTATTGTCCCTACTGCATTTGGGGCCTTTGGGAAGGGCCATACACGGGGGCATTTGTTGCTATTCATGGAATTGCCCGATCTGCCCAGGAACCTCAATAGGAAGGAACTTGTCACGGGGCTCCTAGATGCCACAGTCCTCTCCAACACACACTTCTGGAGGGGACCCCACACGTACCAGCATGTGCTCTGCCAGCCAGCCCTCCTCCTTGGCCAGCCGGCTGGCGATCCTGAGCGCAAAGCACTTCTTCCCAAGCAGGGAGTTGCCACCATAGCCACTTCCGAAGGACACAATCTCCCTGCGGTCCGGCAGGTGAGCAATGAGCGTCAGCTCCGGGTTGCAGGGCCAGTTGTTCACCAGAGGCTCTGTAGATCGGGGTGTAGTCCTCATTAGTGAGCCGTGTGTGTCCCTGCTTAGAGGATGACACCCCCAACACACACACACACACACACACACACACACACACAGAAGCTCACTTCTTTATTAACTCATGAGTTTACAATAATCCACTTACTTTTTAAAGGCAAAGGGCATCCCACAGAATGGAGGCACTTGATGAACTCCCCCTCGCCCAGGGCCTGCAGCACAGCGGTACCCATGCGGGTCATGATCCTCATGCTGGCCACCACATAGGGTGAGTCGGTCAGCTCCACACCAATCTTGGACAGAGGCGAGCCCAGGGGTCCCATGCTGAATGGGATGACATACATGGTGCGACCTGCGGGGACGGATGGGTGGACGGGAGAGGCTGAGAAGTGACCTGGCTTTCACATGCAGCCACCACGGCTATTCCCAGCATGTCCCAGGTACCCACTCTGCACCCTATCAACCACCCTGATTTAAGAGTCCACTGGAAAGTGAAGATGTTGCCACAATCAAAGTCTTCAAAAATGAGTAAGTGGTTCTGCCAAGTGACTTAAAATCCACACACAGAAATCAGTTCAGCCACCTGAGGCCAGTTTCCGTTACTGCTAATTATCACTAGGATACACTGAATGACAGGTTCGCTGTTATTTTGTCCAGCAAAGTGACCCTCCACTCACCTTTCATGCACCCTGGGAACCTGGCGTTGAATGCTTTCTCGAAGTCCTCTTCTGACATCCAGCGACCCAGCTGGCTGACGCCAGTTTTGGGGATGGGCACGGTGTCTCTCTGCTCTTGGGTAATGATCACGGTCTTGCTTTCTATCCTGGCCACATCCCTGGGGTCAGTGAGTGCCAACCAACTGCAAAAATCACAGGATTCCCTTCAGCTGGGCATCACCTGGAATGGACCACTCCCCTTCACTATTGAGTTCTTCCCCCACCTGGCAGGAGTCATTGCGGAAGTGCCAACAGCCAAACCAACTCTGACTTGACCAGGCAGTCACTAGACCCCAACAGACGTGGAGGACAAGGACTGTCTTTCATTTTTATTAGGAATAAATTTTGCAAAGACTTCCTGTGGGCACTGTCTCATTTACAGTATGGTTGACTACGAGTGTCATAGGGTCTCTGTGGTTCTGATATTTTATGACGTTTTAAAGAGCTTGCAGTCCTCACACACAAAGGCTCTCTCACCTGTCTACCGACACCCCAGAACTGGTGGGACCCGGATGTGGGGGGCTGCAGAGCTTACCAATTGTCATACTTCTTGAGCTTCCTGATGATGCCGTCCTCCTGCATGCGAGCCAGCAGCCGCCCATTCTCCTCCTCAGAGCCATCGCAGATGTGGATGTGATCGGGCTGGCACAGCTTCACGTTGTTCTCCACGAACTCCCTCACTGCCTGGGGCAGGCTGTCCAGGCTGCCCTGGACGACTTTGGCGGAGAAGTCCGTGCCGTTGTGCAGCTGAGGGGGCATGTCTGCAGATGCGTGTGAACAGCTCCGAATGCTGAGGTCACCTGAAACAGAAACCACAGGCTTCCTGGTCAAAAGTGTGCACAGCCACTTTGACAGCAGAGGCTTTGGGCTGCAGTCCCTGGGTGGTTACCTGCTTTAAGGAGAAAGTACAGTGAGTTCAAGTTGTTGCTGAATGGTCAAGAAATGTGAATAAAAAGGTTCTACCTACCTTGTAGCCTTCGGATGATCTCAATCAGAGACCCAAGAGTGCCTCCCTGTTGCTCCCGCCAGCAAGTGAGTGCTTGCAGTGGGAAGGCCATGCTTGGTGGCAGAACCTCCTGGCCTTAAATACTGTGGAGGAGGCCAGCCCTGCCTTCGGCTGCCCTGGGAGGCCCGTCTCTGACGTCAGGGGCAGGTCGCTGGATCTCAGCCACGGTCAGTTATGTTTTGGACCAGCTCACCACAATAAACTCCAGGGAGATAATCATTGAACAGATAGTTGTTAATGAATGTTTGGAGGCCTCTGGCCCCAGGAGCAACCATAGTGAATCCTTACCCAACTTTTGATTGACTAAACTTTGACCCCATTCACTGCTGACGCAACACATATCCCCTTTCCTTGAAGACAGGTAAGGTCAAGGACAAAGCTGGCCAGGGCACATTCTGGACTTCAAATGTTGCTGGCAGCACATTTTGTGTGACAACCACACTGTTTGGCAAAACACAACAGCTGGGAGATGTCACCCAACAGTCAAAGTTCACGAGAAAAATACACTCTTCCTCACATTAATGTGCAGCTTATCGGCAAAGATCCACGGCATCTGAGTGAACTGGGTGCCAATAATCTGATTGAATGCCTGTTGTGTACTCTGGCGGCCCCCTCAAAATAAATTCATGAGCATAGGGGGTTCTATGTATTTTTCTCATAGTCGTAGCTACAGTGCCCGAAACATACTGGCGCTGAATCCTCATGCACTGAACTGTGTGCGAAGGATTTGTGTTGACTCACTCACTGCCGTGTCTGGGGAAGGCTCTCACCAACGCTATGAGCAGACAAGGAAACTGAGGCAAGGAAGCTGAGTGGAAGGTGGGAGGTGGGAGGCAGAGAAGGACACGAACCCAAGCCAGCCAGGCTCTGCCTCACCCCTTGTGACACCCCATTACCTTTTCTGGACTCTGCGTGCCCCCAAGAAGCTCTGGGCCAAGTACAGACACTTGTACAGCTGATTGGATGGTTTTCGCTTCCCTTGCAAGTCTGAGCGTCCGGGGAGTGGAGGGGCTTGGCAGTTTTACTAGATTACACTTAAGCAATGAGACCTTTATAACAGTTGTAAAGAATTTGTTTTGCAAACTGCCAGAGTTTCGATTCAATTTAACAGCTCTGGGGCTGCGCTGGGGCTTAGAGTACTGGGTGAGAAGTGAGGCACAGGAGGCCAGCTCTGAGCCCCAAGCACCCAAGGCTAGCCTATCAGTTCCCAGAGAGCCCCCACCACAAAAGGGAAGAGTGGGGCTTGGCCCACCTCCCCTGGAGTGTGGGGTGAGCCCATGAGCTCATTCTTGACTGTGCTTGCAAACAGCCAAGGCAAATCCGAGGCACTGCAAGTGGCCGCCTCAGGTCAGGCACACTTACAGGCCTGTCCCAGTAGGCTTGGCTCACACAGGCGACAACAGATGCACAGACCCATGGCCCCTTCTGCCAACTTTTCTTACCAACCTGTCGCTGGGGTTCATTTATTCCGGCTTTTATTCAACCAACTGGGTTTCTCAGTGTAAATACAATAGGAGGTACTTTGTTTGGTCTAGGGTTATTTTCCCTTTGGGTCCCTGGGATTCATTATTGGTGCTGCCCTGCCTGCCCGGTGTGAGTTCTCAGTGTGCCCCAGCCCAGCAGTGCCCCCTAGCACCTGACACCTGTGAACCCAGCCATTTGGGAGCAAACCCATGAATGAGGGACTCACACCTTCTTCACACTGGCTGGTCACACCAAATTGGCGGAGTCCTATTTTGCTGAAGAAACTACACTAAGTCCAATCTCTCAGAAGAGCACATAAATTGGAAGCAGAAGTGAGAAGCCAGAATTCAGTTGAAGTTTTAAACACACCCCATAAATTAAAGGTGTTAATATTGTGAGTCTGTAGGGAGGAAAACAAGCTATTCAATTAAAGCGTAACAGCCGCACATCAATTGCCCACAGAGTGGGCAGTAGCCCCTCTTCAAGACGTGAAAAAGCTAACAGTGGGCTGCAAGTTCACTTCGAAGCGCAGAGTTCTCTGGGAGAATTCAGACACAAGATACAAGATACAGATGCAAGAATCCAGGCACAAAGACGTAAGAAGGTAGGGTTTTGCAGTCCAAGGTTCCTGATCCCTCACTGATGGCCCTGGGGCCGCTTTCCCTGTTGGAGGAGGGGGGCGCTCCCTCCTGGGAGGCCTTACTGCACAACATTCCCCGGGATGTTGGAAGCCTCCTTCCTACCTGACCTTTGGCTTACTGGTAAGGAAGTCCCCACATGAAGTCCTCCTGATGACTTCAAGTTTAACGAGCAACTAAACTGCTGTCCTCCTGGGCGAGGAGAGTCCCCAGGGGCCCTTGGTCATCCACAAGGGGGCATTCAGGCCGAGGTCAGGGTGGGTGTCACTTTGCCCTGTGACTTCTGGGGCCAACGCCATGGAGACGGCCCAGCTTTATCCCGGGCCAGTGGGGCATGTGTTTCCTTTGGTCCAGGGGGGTTCTTTATAAAATATCAAAATTTAAGCCCAGGTACTTCTTTCCTTGGGGAAAGAAGTAGAAATACCAGCATTATGCTGGGTATGCTGGCACACACCTGTAATCCCAATGCTCGGGAGGCTGAGGCAGGAGGATCACTGTGAGTCCAAGTCCAGCCTGAGCTACATAGTGAACTCAAGGCCAGCCTGAGCTGCACAGAAGGCTTACCAGGACCACCGCACCTGAGTCCTCCACGCAAGATACAGACAGGTTTTAAAAGGTAAAGAAGTGTTTTGCTTTGCTAAAATTGCAATTTTCTCTAGAAATCCTCAGCATAGACTTTTATTAAATGTCCGCTTGGCCTTTGGCACTGGGGATAAAATTTTGATAGAAGTGAGCTTTCTCTGCCTCCCAGAAATGGCATGTATTATGGGATTTCCTCTAAGTACCCTTTTACCTTTTCCACTCTTTAGGTAAGGAAACAAATTGCTTAAGAAAGGAATCACGCACATCTACTCAACAAACGTGACTGAACAACTACTTTTGTCACTGCGCAGAATTCCTCCGAAGAGGTCTCCACATTGTGCGTTGTGACCCTCTTTTCCTCTGTGTACCATGGCCTCCCACACATGGGTCACCCACTGCCCACTCATCCCCGTGCATTCTGCCCTGGGCTCCATGACTTATGCAGCTCCCTGCACACCGGGTACAGAGTACCTAAGAAACATTTTCCTCCAGGACCTAGATCGAGTTGGCCAGACACTGAAATGCTAGGATACTCAGTGTCCCATCAGACCCCCACGAGGGCCAGGAGAGGGAAAGACATTGGCAGTCATGCACCATGTCCATAACTCATCTTTCCTGGGAGGGTCCGATGCTGTGTTTTGCTGTCTAGACTCTGAGCAGGACAGGTGGCAAGTGTTGGCTCAGAGCTCTGAGGTCAGCAAGCATCTTCTTGGGTCTGTGTGCAAGTGACCAGAGCAGTCAAGACTGCAAAGGGACTCTTGAACCCAAGCCCCTGAGCCCAAGCCAGGGCCCTGCCAGCCTGCTGTCCCTGGAGGGAAGAAGCAGCTGCCTCCAGGCCCCAGCTGACTGTTTCTCCAGCTGTCTGCGATGACCTGAAAGGGCAAGTGAGCAGGACGTGGGGGAGCCTCCAGCACAGCTGTGCAGGACGGTGGTGTCAGGGAGTCAGGGTAGGAGGTGTCAGGAGCTCTGGGGCCTCACAGCAGAGGACTCTGGGGTCAGTCTGGTGTTCTTAGCTGCTGGAGGTCACATAAGAAGCCATCCCCAGAGACTCTTAGCATTAGGGTCTGGAGGTCATGCAATTCCAGAGCAGCGGGGTCCCCCGAGAACCTGCTGGCCCTCCTCCCCACCCCCGGATGTGCTCAGAGGTGCCCTCACCCATGGCAGTTCTGATTTCACTAGTGGACACTCTAGGTTTTCATGGTGTAGCTTAGCACAACGTCTTTCACAGGCAGAAAACACTGGGAATCCACCTATCACAGCCACACCCTTCCTTGAAGCAATGGAACAGCTGAGTGACAGAGTGCAGACCCTGTCACCACTGTCCCAAGCCCACCAGCTCCCCAGCCCAGCCTAGCCCAAGCATGGTGGGGTGGACACTTGTGGGAGGGGGTGGGATGTGCCTCAGTGCAGGAACCTGAATTGGTAGACAAGAATCAATCTGACAAAAAGGGAGCAGTAATTTTCCAGAAGATGACCAAAAGCAAACAGTATAATCCTACATCCCAGAGCCAAAGGTATTTGCGCAAACCAAGCCTGGGTCTCCAGGGTCAGGACACTCCTTGCTGGGCACCTGGCTGACCTCACCACAGAAGTTTCCAACAGGGAGACTACACAGCCCATCGCTGCCCTCAGCCACAGCACTGCCACCTGGGCAATCTGGGTCATCCACCCCGCTCTGTTCGTCAGGGGTAAATATTTATATGTTCTGTTTGTGGAGTAATCGCGGTGTCCCTGCTGTCTGCAGGGAAGGTTCACAGCGGGAAATGAGCCGAATTCCTGTCTAGGTGCCAGAGAATCGTATATCTGATGAAGGGGTCCGTAACCAGTTATAGTAGCACAGGTTAAAAAGGTGGAGGTCTCCTCTGGGAACAGTGAAGATGAAAATGTTTCAGAACTAAAAGGAGGGATGGCCTGACAACATTGTGAATGCCACCAACCTATGCAACTTATTTACTTATTCTTTTTTGTTGGTACCAGGGATTGAACTCAGGACCTTGCACTTGCCAGGCAAGTGCTTATGCCACTGAGCTATCTCCCTGGCCCTGTATACACCTTAAAATGGCTAACTGTATACTGTGTGAATTTCAGCTGAGTTCCTTTTTTTTTTAGATTATGTGGTCTAGTTGTGTTTTAAAAAAAAAACTTTAGAGATGCACATGGGGAGCAGCATGTTAGGTGGGTAGTATCCACAGCCCACTCTTGGATGAAAGAGGGTCTTTAAAATGCACCCACCCACTCACTTTTTAGTACAATGCTCTCCACTTCTCTTTGTGGCACTGGAATGTCAGAAGGTAGCCATTGTGGGCTGTCCCTAGAAGAGGGGACAATCATATCAGAAGGGTGTCTTCTCCTAAGGTGTGAAGATTTTTTCTTTCTTTCTTTCTTTCTT